CATTCCCTTCGGTTATAAAAGGTGTATAATCCACGGAAGAACTCACACTCTGATCAACAGATTTATCCTTGGACTTGGATAAATGACAATCCTTCTCCTCACAAGTGTCAACACTGAATGGCAAAGTAGAAACCAAAGAAACAGGTTTTGAAAACCTCTCTTTCTTTTTAAGAACAAGACAGTCCGATATTTTATGACCAGGCTTTTTACAATAAAAGCAAACCATGTCTCGTGAGGGTGCAGTTTTACTAGAATGTTCAGCGACTGTCGCCTTAATATTCCTACTCATCACAGGAGACTTTGTCTTCGGTTGAAAGCAAAACTTGGACTTGCTCATGTCGCTGGTTTTAAGACTGAACTTAACACAAATTCATCAGCCATGATGGCAGCTTCAGAAAGTGTATCAACCTTGTGTTCAGTGAGATACCTGGCTACGACATGAGGAACACAATGTTTAAACTCTTCTAAGAGCACGAATTCTCTTAACTGTTCTTTAGTTGTAACTTTCCTTGAAGTACACCAACGATCAAACAAGTTCTCTTTTTCTCTTGCAAATTCATCGTTAGTACATTCATCAGTTTTGCTCAAATTTCTAAATTTTTGCCGATACGCCTCAGGCACGAGTTGATGTGCATGTAGCACAGCAGATTTCACCACCTCATACTCACCACTGTGTTCCAGTGAGAGTGCAGAATAAACTTCCTGTGCTTTACCTGTGAACACACACTGTAACAATAAAGTCCAAAGGATTTTCGGCCGTTTCATGGATAAAGCAACGCGTTCAAAGTGAAAGAAATATTTATCCACTTCCTTCTCAGAAAATGGCGGAACTAATCTCATGTTTCTGTGAACGTCAAACACAGGTTCACCTGTATTTGCCCGCTGCGGTGAAACGGGAGGCAAATTCGCCTGTGAAACTTCAGCGGTCTTTACTGCCAACTCTAACTCCAACTTCTTTATCTGAAACGCTCTCTCGTCACGTTCCCTCTCCAACTCTAACTCCATTCTTCGCTTGGCTAACTGGTGCTCTAATTTCCTCCCTTCAGAATCTCTTTCCACTGCTCGCTCTTTCATAGCGCGACCGTCACGTTCAGCACGAATTTTCGCGGCCTCCAAACGCGATTGCTTCTCTTGCAAAGACAATTCAGCAAATTTGGTCTCACTTTCACCATAAACCTCAGCAGGAGTAGACACGACCGATTCACCAATTATCTCTATAACTCCTCGATCCACAAGTGATCGCTTCAAAGTAGTCACCAGAGTTTCCTTCAGCCTCTTTTCTTGAGAAGTAAGATCGACACTGAAGCGTTCGGCAATTTGTACCAACTGCTCCTTTGTACAACTCTCAAGCAAAGCTTCTGACGGACACGCAAAGAAATCTTCGAGCACCGAAGACATTTTGTTCGTATTTGTATACGCACAGTAACACAAACGAAACTACTCTAACACACGTGAGACGCTGTTTACGCGAAATACAACTCCCATAAGCCACTGCTTCAAAAGAGGAACTACGTCACCGTATTCCTCAACCTATGTTCATTCACAAAGACTTCCGAAGACTTCCCACAAGTCAAAACTTAGTGTAAGCGCGAAAATAAACCGCACTATACACACAAACTAGGGATGCACCGATCCACATTTTTTCACTTCCGATCCGATCCCGATACCTACATTTGGATATCGGCCGATACAAATAATATTCCGATACCAGAGCTGTGTTTGAAAAACAGGAAATCCTGTTAACAGAAAAAATTCTGAAAACTAATTTGAAACTAAGGGTTTCAGATTGATTGTCATGTCAATATTTATTTAATTTCATGAATGTCAAATACTTGAGTCTTAAAAATGTAGAAATATGAAAAGTGCTCATACACACTTGGAAACACTCTAACCCGAGTTCTCAATTATAAAGGTAACATAGCTGACATACGCTCCTCCTTCTCAAACCCACCTCCTACTTCTTGCGTCCCACCGACCTCACCTCTTTCGCCCTCACTTTCCTCTTTCACCGCCCTCTCTCCTAACCAAATTCTTACCCTAGTAACCTCTGCCCGTCCGACCACCTGCCCTCTTGACCCCATTCCATCACATCTTCTACAATCTATCGCACCTGACCTTCTTCCGTTCCTCACCTGTCTCATCAACAACGCTCTGTTATCTGGCTGTTTTCCCAATTCTCTGAAGGAGGCAAGAGTCAACCCCCTCCTGAAGAAACCCACCCTCAACCCTTCTGAAGAAAACAACTACAGACCGGTCTCTCTTCTTCCCTTTTGTCCAAAACCCTTGAACGTGCTATCTATAATCAACTCTCCCCCACCAGTCAGGTTTCAAGACAGGCCACTCCACAGAGACTGCTCTCCTTGCTGTCTCAGAGCAACTCCACACTGCTAGAGCCGCCTCTCTCTCCTCTGTCCTCATCCTTCTGGACCTCTCTGCTGCATTTGACACGGTCAACCACCAGATCCTTATTTCCTCCCTTCAGGAACTTGGTGTCACAGGCTCTGCTCTCTCCCTTCTCTCGTCCTACCTCGACGGCCGCACCTAACGGGTAACCTCGCGAGGATCTGTGTCGGAACCTTGTCCTCTTACTACTGGAGTTCCTCAGGGTTCCGTGCTGGGTCCCCTCCTGTTTTCGCTTTACACCAACTCTCTTGGCGCTGTCATTTGCTCGTATGGCTTCACTTACCACAGCTATGCCGATGACACCCAACTTATTCTCTCCTTCCCTCACTCGGACACCCAGGTGGCGGCTCGGATCTCTGCCTGTCTAACTGACATCTCTCAGTGGATGTCCGCCCACCATCTGAAAATCAACCCCGACAAGACTGAACTACTTCTCTTTCTCGGAAAAGATTTGCTTACCCAGGACCTGACAGTCAACTTTGGAAACTCCGTACTAACGCCCACTTTGACCGCTAAGAACCACGGCGTCACACTCGACAGCCAACTCTCCCTGACTCCCAACATCACCGCGACAACGCGATCCTGTAGATACACGCTCTACAACATCAGGAGAATACGTCCCCTTCTCACTCAGAAGGCAGCGCAGGTACTGATTCAGGCTCTTGTCATCTCTCGCCTGGTTTACTGCAACTCCCTCCTGGCTGGTCTCCCTGCTACCGCCATTCGACCTCTGCAGCTCATTCAAAGTGCAGCAGCTCGACTGGTCTTCAACCTTCCGAAATTCTCCCACACTACTCCACTCCTCCGCTCTCTTCACTGGCTACCGGTGGCCGCCCGCATCCAGTTCAAAACATTGGTGCTCACGTACCATGCTGTGAATGGATTGGGTCCAGCTTACATCCAGGACATGGTCAAACCCTACATCCCAACCCGCACTCTCCGCTCTGCATCTGCTAAACTACTCGTCCCTCCCTCACTGAGAGCAAAACACTCGACTAGATCTCGACTCTTCGCTGTCCTTGCGCCGAAATGGTGGAACGAGCTCTCTGAAGACACCAAGACCACAGAGAGCCTTCACATCTTCCACCGTAAACTAAAGACACACCTCTTCAGACTCTACCTCGACTAAAGACTAACAAATTGTAGTACTTAAATTGTACTTGTAACGTCACTCATCTACAGCAAATTGTAAATTGGCTTATTTGAGGAAATTGCACTTTCTTGTTTCTTGTTCTCCTGAGTTTGTACCCTATGGTTGAACACACTTATTGTACGTCGCTTTGGATAAAAACGTCCGCTAAATGACATGTAATGTAATGATTGACACTCCAGAACATCTCTACACTTTTGTATTCATCCTTCACAATAAAAGCCCCGGATACCTTCACTGGGACACTGTTAGCTTGCTAGCAGCATCCTTCAGGTCGGGGAGATGCAGGACAAACAAACTGAGGTCAGACCTCGCAGGAAGTCGTCATACGGTGAACAGTAGTGAGATCTGATCTGAGAGCCAGCTGATCTTCATCTGCATGCTGGGAGCAACACTCCGTCAAAACTCCATCGTCCAATAAGGAGCCAGAGAAAAGCTACCAGCTGATCACTGAAGTAGAACTAGATACATCCTCACTCTTTCTTACTATCTTAACATGCTTCATCTTAATGGCCGTTGCCTTAAAACTGTCAGGATGAAACAGGAATGGAAGATGTGCTAACTTCAGAATAAAAGCCTCAACCGTGTGCTGACTAGAAATATGATTATTTTACTGAACAAAGTCCTTAATCTCCAATTTTAGTACCTTCGGTGTAAGTTGTTCGAACAGCGGACTTTGTCTCTCTCTGCATACTGTTGATGACTGAATCCTCCAGCAGTCAGCATGAATCAGAGAACGAAACAAACCTCACCAGCTGATGACGCTCCAGTAGGAGGCGGAGCTACAAGGAGGGGCGGAGCTTCGACGTCACTGTCCAGAAATGAAAGTGAAGTTGGTCAGAGAGGCAGACGCGCTGCAGTGAAGACAAGTCTCCGTGTTTCTCTGAGAGAAAAGTCAAAGTGACGTTATCAGGTGTTCCTCAGCAACACAGCAGAGTCTCTTCAGAACACTGGTGAGTACAGCTGGTCACATTTACACCTTCAACAAGCAGGAAGAACACACAACTTGTACTTTACTCAGGCAGGAAGTTCCTCTCTGTTCACTTCCTACTTGATAGAATGTTAACAATAAAACCACGCGTGTTTATCCACAGTCCCACGATACAGTAACTCAGACTAACAGCTTCAAACTGTCCAGGACTTCAGTCACTTGGAGCTGAATCTCTGTGCTTTAAACTTTAGTGTCTCTCTGTTTCCTGATCCCTTCCTCTGTTTCCTGTTGGTGCGTCACGTTAAACGTGTTCCACAGCGAACCTGCTGGAGGCTTTTAGTGTAAGTCATCTAAATGAGACGCTACGTGTTTGTCACCAAGTAAGCAGAGCGTTGTTAGCGTGCTGCTCTTTATTCACAGCATGTGGACACATTCTGGACTGGTTTCAAAATAAAACTATTCATGAAAACTATTTTAAATGAAACGTTTTTCTTCTCTTCCACAACATGTGTAGACATGGCTTCTGCAAACTATGGTCCATCTGAAGATCAGTTCCTGTGCTCCATCTGTCTGGATGTGTTCACTGATCCAGTCACCACACCATGTGGACACAACTTCTGCATGAACTGCATCAATGAACACTGGAACACCAGCGACCAGAACCTGTGTCCAATGTGTAAGAAGGACTTCACCACCAGACCTGATTTGAGGGTCAACACCTTCATCTCTGAGATGGTTGTTCAGTTCAGACAGTCTGCTCAGCAGAAAGCCAGCAGCAGCAGCTCAGAGCAACAAGAGTCCAAACCAGGAGAAGTTCCCTGTGACGTCTGCACTGGAACCAAAGTGAAGGCCCTCAAGTCCTGCCTGGTGTGTCTGGTCTCCTACTGTGAGACTCACCTGGAGCCTCATCTGACAGCTTCACGCCTGAAGAGACATCAGCTGATGGACCCTGTGGAGAACCTGGAAGGCAGGATGTGTACGAAGCACGATAAACCTCTGGAGCTGTTCTGTAAGAGCGACCAGACGTGTGTCTGCATGCTCTGCACTGTTTTAGACCACAAGAACCATGATGTTGTT